TTCCCTGCAGCTCCTGCCGGTGCCTCGGCGGTGGTGCCGTGGGGCGCAGCAGAGCCGAGAGCTGAGGGCGCGGGGCTGTCTTGCCTTCCCGCCTGGGTGATCAGGGCTGCTTGTTCGTGGTTTGGCCTGTTCCGCGTGCGAGTGCTGCTCTTGCTGTTGCTCAGGCTGTTCTCAGCGAAGGTACAAAGAGTGAGTTGTGTGTGGCGAATATAACACTGATGCTTAGGGCTCAGGTAAAAGGTATGTTGATGCTATGCCAGTCGTCAATACCCAGACGCAGTGTCTAACTTAAGTACTTGCTTTCTGCATCCTTACTACGCAACTCAGTATCTTTCCCTGTGTATTTCAGGCTATTCTAATTTTCTGCTGGGTTTATGTGCGCAAGTATCAGAGTCGGCGGGAAAGTGAAGTGATTTCTACCATCACAGCTATCTTTGCGTTGGCAGTTGCTCTTATCTCATCAGCGCTACTACCAGTGGACATCTTTTTGGTTTCATATATGAAAAATCAAAATGGTACATTTAAGGTATGGACTTCTAAAAATGTTAATTGCCTCTTCAAAAAAAGCACTTGTGTTGAAAGAGAATGTTCTTGGGCTGTCAAAGTGTTTAAAACCAATGCTAATACCTGTTCTAGTGCCTGAGGTTTTTAGAAAGCTGGGAACTGGTACTGTGAATATAACACTGCGCTCTGGTTGTTATTTGAACTGGATTTCAGTTTTCACTTCTATTATTTTTGACATTCTGCTCATTTCCAAATGCTCATTCCTTCTATTGTGCTAAAAGAAGTGTGTATACCATCCCGAAGATATAAACAAATCTCTTAAATGTTGCTTTTTGGTACATTATAATGGGGCATTGTAGAATGGAATTTGTTGCCTCTTTGTTCAAAAACAGACTGTATTGCCCACTTGCAGTTTAAGATTATTTTGATTGTCTTTTTTGCTAGCTTTCTCTTATTTTAGTACTGAAATATTAAGACTTACAAATATTTGCTGTGTTAATCTACCTATAACGTAGAGCCTGAGTTAATAAGCACTTTTTTAAAGAGAGAAAGCTGGAAAAATCCTTGGATGAAGGGAGTACAGTATGATCTCTTCTTGGCTGATACCGCCTTAACTGAACTACTGTATTTATAAACTTAAACTGTAGGGGGTTGCTGTGCAAAGTGAGTTCTTAATGAGATGAGTACTCACTGTAGTCTGCTCTAAGCATTACTGTAAGAGTTCTTCCCCATGCTTAAAGCATTAGCCTTTTTAATTTTCAAGGAGGGTTTTTGAAGGTCTTTGTGAGGGTGCTAGCATTAAAAACAGGTCAAACTGGAGCATATTAATAATTTGAATAACAGCTTAGTTTGGTTTGGAGCCTCCTTGGATCTGTAGTAAGAGATGACCCTGAAACAAATGAAAGAGTGGGCAGATGGTAAATGCCTGCACACTAGACTCAGTCTGTGTTCCCTTCCAGCCCTACTTCCAGAGGAAAACCTAGGTCTTGCCAGGTTCTTGATAACACTTCAGAACTCGCTTGCAGCTGGTGCAGTGCCTTTTGGCTGGTGCTCATGTAAATGCAAGTCACAAGGAGCCTTTAGAATTGAGCTGTGACGTGATTTTTGTCGTGTTCATCGCTCAGTGGTAATACAGAACAAATTAAGCTATCATTCAATGTTACTGTTAAAAGTTTGCGTCTTCAGACCTTGTTTGTTCAGAATTAAAATGGATATGGAAGATGGAAGAGACCTTTCCTATGTCACAATACTAGCAGTTCAATGAGAATAATACTGAGTATTAAGAAATACATTGAGCCTGACTAGCTAGAGAAATAGCAATGATGTAACTAGGCCCAGCTGAAAAATGCACATCTGCTGGAGACGAAGCAGAATTTCCTGTTGCAAAGGAGACATATTTTTGTTAATGTGTGCATTCCTTGATTTGAGAAACAAACCTGTGAGGAGAACAGGAGGCCGAATGTGGTCATGCAGTCACTACAGTCTTATTTAAGGAAGTATGATTAATAGAAGGAAAATTACTGTACTTAAAATACTGTTTTTCTTGAGTGAGACTTCTTTGTTAATGGCCACATGCTGTGATGTGATGGGGTGGGCAGGTGCTGTTTAAAAATCGTACCTGAAAGCATGCTTTCATGCTTGTGGTAAAGCTTTTGTTTCTTTAAAGAACCTTTGCCTGTGCTTCTGAGGCTTCTTGGTGCTGCTTAGTTCCTAATGTTTGTAGATGCTGCTGATGGCCTGTTGAAATAAAATTGCTCCTTACTGCCTTGCAGCAGAATTCTTCCTTTTCTGTTAAGGTTCAGCTGAATGAGTTTCTAGCTTTGCAGCAATAACATGAGGTCTTCTGATAAGAATACATTTGATCCAACACAAGTGTTGAAATTGTGATACAGAAATATTAACATGGCCTTCCTGATAAAGTTGAGTGGATCTGAAGTCAGTCAGAACATACAAATCTTTACGTAAACACAAAGCTTTATTGATTTGGTAATTTCAGTTTAGGAGTAATGTGAAGTTAGGAGGTTGACAGCATCTTAACGCGAGACCTTCATGAAGTGTTAAAGCTTTTAACACTGTCCTGGATAATATGTGCTTCTTTTCTGCTACTGCTTCACAAGTGAGACAGACTGGATTGGGCTCAGAATATTTCCAAGAGACTACTGCCCTTCCTCTGGACCATTCTTTCAAACCCAGCACCTCCAAGACCCTATATCTGATGCTGGGATCTGAAGGGCTATGACTCTGGCAAGGTTCCTCTGTTTTGGATGGCCACAGTGAGTTAAGTCTTCACTAGATTCTTCTCAGTGAATTTTTGAGGCAGATCCAGGTAGCAGATGTGGATAATATTCTCTGTAGATAAATCATTAGTTCATCAAAAAATCTTCCAACTGGATGATTTCAGAGCTTATGCCAGAAGAGTAGTGGCAGTTATCCAGATCCTAGGTAAACAATTTTTTTGCTCTATGTACTCTTTTCCTCTACCTCCCAACTGTAATTCCCAGTATCAGTGCTAGAGATAAGAAAGTTAAGGATGCTCAACTTAGAAGAAAGAGTACTATATGTGGACTTTCAGTTGATTTTTAGTGCATCTGACCCTACTATCAACTTGTAGATACTCAAGGTTTTTCTGTGAACAAACTTGTAGCAAACTCAGGGAGAAGCATGTTATACTAATAGCAGACATTAAATTGAAAGCATAGTCTGATGGTTCAGAGTTCTCATTGTGAATTGTGTGTTCAGTGACAAGTAAAGGTATGTGTCCTGGCTATAAGGATTGGCTTAATTGTCTGAAGTGTAGTACACAGGCAGATTACCCTTCTCTGAAGGCTGTCAAAATGATGCTGGGTGAATTCATTTAAAACAGTGTTGTGTAGCCCTTTTCCATGTGTTCCAAAGTGTCTTCCTTGACAACGACCATACACTATACTTCGGTCACCCTTTGTTAACCTTGGGGTTTTGTCCATTTTGACAGGACTGTTAAACTTAACATACTGTTTATATGTTTTTCAATTAAGACAAGCTATTCTTTACTATAAACAAGTAGCTTGTGGCATTTGGTACCTGTTGGTGTGTCTCAATGTATTTTGAGACTTATCAAATATTATCTTAAAGCTTTTATAGTGAGTGAATTCAGCAGTTTTGGTATTAGAAGGTTTTGCACAGTAGTTGTGTAGTCCTTTAGGAAAGGAGCGGTGGTGCATGGACTTGGGCGGTCATTATTCCTATGTACAATAGAATTCATCACAACAATGCCTTTTCTGGAGGCTGGGATTACTTTGATTCATAGTGCTGTTAAGTAGGAAAGTAGGCTTTTGGTTCTAGTACTAGTCAAAAGAACTTGAGTATTACCTTGTAAGCAAAGTCCTGATAATATTCACCAGCACCCTTTTATCTTGAAGGTTTTGGCTGTTTGCACTTGATAGTGCTTTAGTTTGTGCAATGGACTTCAAATACATCCAGTTGGGTCTGATCTGTTTGATCTGAAAGCTTGTTTGATTTATAACAAGCACTTAAGAAGAGAAAACCTCACCCTAGCTTAAAGACTTAAGATTGCTAGAACCCAAGACCTCTAGATCTGGCCTATAAGTCTCATAAATATTTATGAAATAAAACATAGCTGATGCTGTCTTGCAGCAGGAAGACTGCTTGAAACAAGGACGTTATCATCACCATGCTGTCGTCTTTTATTCTATTGTTGATGCACCAGAAGGCAGTGGAGGTGATGAGAACTCTTCTTTTTGAAATGTATGGATTCTTGCTATTCTATGAAGTTAAAAGCCAGTGGCATTTCTTTTGGTCTGGTTAGACTGAACACCTCACAAACCTTGGGTGTCTGGCTGAGCTGTTAAAAGCCAGTTGTCTCTTTAATGATTCAAGGAGTAGCATCTGTTTAATGGGAGATCCTTTTTGCAGACCATTCTATTAAGATTTTTTGTATCTTGGGGGGAAACTCATTATGTAGCTGCTCAGAATACAGAACCACTAGAAATGTCAGATTTTTTATTCTGTAAAGGTGTTAGCTGAGAAATCATAAACTGAGACCATGCTTCCTGTCCTGAGTAGGAATTACTACTTGTGAAGTAAAAATACTTGACCAAATATTCATGTAGCTAGATGTGGCTGATAGGCATGTTTGACTGCCTGCCAGATGGAGAGTAACATCCAGAAAATCCTGGCTCTGTCCCATTTTGAAGGTAACAAGCTGGAAGATCTGAGACCTGGACATGAAATTTCTTTGTGGGTCATATGCTATGACCCACTCTCTGGTCTTTGGTATTGTATCTTCCTTTTGTTGGCTAAGCTTTGGGAAAGGCTAATCAGCAGAACAATGGCTTCCTGTACATCTGATGAAACATCACAGATGCTGAAACCTGGAATGTTACACCACTTTAAGCTCTATTAAGGTACATTGTGGAGAATGGGTGCTATCTTCACTGGGTACTCATGAAATTCTTGCTGGGTCCAGCAGTGACAGTAGAAATGCCTCCTTTAATAGGGACAAAATGAAATTCATGGCCATTCCCTCACCAAAAAGTGGGGAAGGTCAAAAATGTCAGATTAACTTCCCCAAACAAAAGCAGTACAAGCTATCTGTACAGTTTGAATAATACTGTTATGTTAAAATATGTTAATGTAAGTCACTACCTGGACACAGTTGCTGGGAGAAGGAAGACTCTGCTCAATGATTACTGAGGGAAGCAAGTGTTCTTCATAATTAATTTTCTGTGAAAGTAATTATAAAATGAATCTTTTGAGGGAGCTTTGCTTTGGTTTTAGCATTTAGGAAAACTGGAAGTGTCTTAAACTGCCTTTTTTATATCCTTATTTACGTAGCAACGTTTTACTAGTCTATTTACTTTTTACACTTGTAACTGTATTTGAATTTCCTGAATCCTTCAACATGGCTTGTGTTAAGGAATACTTAACACAATACTCTTAAATAGACTAATAGCTTAATGTAGGCCATCATACTTGTTGCACATATCCTTGCAATTGATTTCTTTATCTATCAATACAATGCATTGTTACAGGTATTTTAATGGCGATATGATGTATGCTTGCTAAACTGCATGGAACACAATGAAGTACAGCAGAACAGTGCAGAGTGCCTGAATTCTGCAGATCTTAGGAGAATTTGTGGTCACATTTTCACGTCTCAAACTGCTGTTGAAGGCAGTAATGAATTCTCGCCTTCCTAATCTATTGTGCTTGTAAGGTATTTGCTGTATATATTGTAAGCTTGGGCCATAATGGATGGAGGAAGAAAACAGACTAGATCTAGAGGCTGTCCAGATGAGTTCTCAACTGAGTCCTGATGTGCTTGTCCAGTAAATTCATATACCTATCAACTTGATATATCAGCACTGCTGCTGCAAATGCCAGAGCTCTGACACTCACTAGGTAGCAGTGTTTCTTGCCTTTGACAAGACAGTGCTGCTGTCAGTAGCTTTTGAAACAGCTCAGATGAACTGGTACTGCTTTTGAGTTCCTGATGTGTGCATATGGATAATTTTCTAATAAGAATAAGGATTTTTACCTCCTTAGTTTGTGTAAATGTGGGGTTGTTTCAGCAGTTGACTGAAAGCTGACATAATAGATATGATACACTATTAAATTGGCTTGCGTTACAGATTCTTCTTGTGCAGAGTAATGCAAAGTTTGTAAGTTCAGGCACACGTACACAATGGTGAAATGCATATATCTTTGAATCTTTACATCTTTTAATGTAAGATAACATCTCAATATTTTAATACGCTGTAATGTATGCTTCCTAGTATGTTACTCTGGGCCTGTACACAAATTAATTTGAGCAACAAAATGAAAAGCAATTACAATGTTTTGAAGTTCTACATCTGTATCCTGTTATAAATGGTATTCATGCTTTTCTAGAGTTGGAGGAGAAGCAGTTTTTTGGCAGTTAAGCCCTGTTGTATTTCAACTATTAGCTACCTCTTCCTGTAAAGTGGCTGTGCCACTTAAACTTCAGGTCTTACTGTTGCTGTTCTTACTTGTTCTTGGTTGGTGTGGGTTTTGAATGTCCCCATTGCTCATAGGAGAGAGCTTGTTCTTGATTGGTGTGGGTTTTGAATGTCCCCATTGCTCATAGGAGAGAGCTTTTTCAAATACTTGGAAGTAAAGAGTGCCACCTGTTCAGTTCAGTCTTGCTTTTCCCTTAGGCATAATTAAAGCAATGCATTTCCTTAATTTTTTAACACTAGGCAATTTAAACACTTTAATATTCTATGTATGTATTCTTAACTTATTATGATCAAATTCTTTTGCGGTGTATTTTCATACAAATGCCTAGACATTTTGCAGTTGAAACACTGTTGGGCTTGAGCCTGACAGTCTTCAAAGATTTGGCTTATTGTGTACCTGACAGACGCTTAATTTAAGATGTTGCTCCTGTCCTTTCTGCTAAAATACTTTTCATCCTTTCTTTTTGCTGATTAGATGACAAAATGCATGTGTACTTTTCTACTTAAATTGCGGTTGGATGATAATTTAATGTATTTCAGATACTGAACTTTAAAAGCTTAATGTAAAGTGGCCTACTGGAAGTCTTAAAAAAGTAACATGAAGGAAGGTGGTGCTGATTTTCTGAGATAATAGAAAAATGAAGTGTTTATGGTATGTCATCAAGCCCATATTCCATGAGAGTTTAGGCACTTCTGAGAGAACTGATAAGGCAAGTGTTAAACTTTAAGTCTTACTGTGTGCAGTCTTTAAGGAGTATGCTCACTTGCATTTTTCATATGCTCTGTATTAGTGCATGCGTCTTTACAACAACAGAAAGGGCTTGAGCTTACCAGTTTGAAAAAAGCCTGCACATAGAAATTGAAAGGAGCTTTGACAATGCTGGATCTTTTTTCTTACCAATTCAATCATGTTGGTGTGTCTCCCAAATTGCTAGCTTTTAAAGAATTTTGCTTCTTGATAACTACTTTCTTTACCTTGACTACATGTAGAGTGGATCCCATAAGACTTGAACAATTCTGGAATATGTTTAAGCTGTACAGACAAGCTTGGACCTCTGGATTCAATCCCTGAGTTTTGCTGCCAATGATCATGTTACAAAACACTTAGTTTCCTTTTTCAGAACACAGTTCTGAAAAAGATCAACTTTTGCTCTTGTTCAAATAAGGGATATCAATGCTGTTACATTTGGAGTTGTAGGATCTAAATCCTAACATGCATGGATGGGTGTCCTGCAGTTCTGTGATAAGATTTGAGATACACTACTCTACTAATTTCTGTTAAGAATTATGGCTTTCTTGATCAGTATGTGACTCTCTGGGTAGGAACTTCAGGAAGACAGTCTGCCCTTTGGTGTTGTGTAGAGAGCTTCAGTGCTTAGGCCAGAAACTCAAGACTGGCATACAGTTAGTGTCTAAGCTCTGCTAGCGTGTATAGTGTCAAGTAATTGAATAACTTTTTTCTAATACCTGGTTTAGGGTACCATTTTTCTGAAGCTAACTTGAATATTCATGTAATTCAAGTCTTGGCCAAACTAAAAAGTAAAGACTCATACTTCTGAAAAGAGATGATGGCTTATACTAGGTGGATAACTAATAAAAATAGAAGTTTGTAAGCTAAAACTGAGCATAATAAAAAGCTATTTGCCATTCTTATGTCTAAGTACCTTTGCATCTGTATGTATAAATTTTAGTCATAGCTATTCTGTGACAGAAATGCTGTGTGCATTGTGTGCACTGTGTACTGTGTCCAGCTCTGTGGCCCACAGTACAAGAAAAACATGGAGCTGTTAGAGCAGGGCCACAAAAATGATCAGAGGGATGGAACACCTGTGCTATGAAGAAAGGCTGAGAGAGTTGGGGTTGTTCAGCCTGGAGAAGAGAAGGCTCCAGGGAGACCTTATTGTGGCCTTTCAATATACAAAGAGGGCTTATAAGAAAGATGGAGAAACACTTTTGACCAGGGCCTATAGTGACAGGACGAGAGGCAAGAGTTTTAAACTGAAGAGGGTAGACTTAAATTAAACTGAGGAATAAATTTTTTGTGGTGAGACTCTGGAACAGGTTGCCCGGAGAAGTTGTGGATGCCCTGTCACTGGAAGTGTTCAAGATCAGGTTGGATGGGGCTTTGAGCAACCTGATCTAGTGAATGATGTCCCTGCCCATGGCAGTGGGGTTGGAACTAGGTGATCTTTGAAGGTCCCTTCCAACCCAAACCATTCCATGATGATCTTAAGAGACCCTGTTATCAAGATACTGTGGTAATTAGCACAACACACTGGGGAGCTGCCAAAACTACTCTGTTCTTTCTGGTCTGTAAAATCTTCCCTTTATGAAACTGTCCTATGTCCTATGCTTATTCCTGTATGCCCAGTCATTTGCACCTTTGCTAGCACTCTGTAGCTAGTAATTTTTTTAGAAGTAGCACCTTTTATATCTGTCGCTATGTATTTGTGTTCTTCAATGAGTAATTCTCTTGCAGTGTTGCCAAATACAGTAATAACAGGAAGTGAAGTACTGTAGAGATTCTCAGAAGAGTATGGATCTTTATATACTATTCATATCATATATGCTTGAAAAATAGGTGTTTGATACCTTAGAAAGGGCCATCTGAAAAGAATTAATTTTTCTTCCTAGTTCAAAGTCCTAACAAAGCAAATTCTGCTGATCAAATTTGACTCTGGCATTTCCACTGAGTTGTGTCTAGAAAACACTTATCTTTATCTGACCCTTCTTTCTAAAGGTGCTCCCAAACTCTAGTTTGTGGTGCTGTTTCTGTGACTGAAATTCAGTAATGTGCATGTCAGCCTCAAGTGGGATTTTGTGGCTGCTCTTTCAGCAATTGCCAGTGTCAGCCTTACTGATATAAAACTAGTGCTTTTTTGATTGAGAGGTATTGACTTCAAAATGAGTGGATCATTGACTTGATTGGGTCCCTCCATTGATGTTTAGCACATGAATATTTTCTGAAGAGTTGCAAAGCAGATGTAAATGTGTTAATTATGAAATTAAATCCAATGCATCCAACTACTGGGCTAGGCAACTCATACAGCTTAGTTGTCTGTGCAGTCTTTTCTAATGTACCATGCTGCTTCCAAGCCTGTCATGTGTTGGGTTTTGTAGAAAACTCGTCCTGAGGACAGCTTTGTCTCTGCAAGGACTTGACTTTGAAGCTTAATGTCTACTGCAGTGCTCGGAGTCCAGAAAAAAGGGCTAGAACTGCAAATAGCCATACCTCCAGTTGTCTTTTACAAAACACTTTGAAAAAGTATTCAGATTGAGCTTCAGACTCAGTAGCTGCCTTGTCTGATATGTGGAAAACAAAAATCAGTTTCATAAAAATAGGAGTGCCACTTAACAATTTGCTTTTGTTCTGTACTTAATATTTAGCTGCTTAAAATGTTATTCACTAATAATTTTATTTCAGTTGTGTGTTGACAATATAATGCATGGTGACTTAAGGATTCAATATGAAAAAATAATAGAGCTTTAAGTATGAGGCTAACAGCCAAAGTGAGTATAAGCAGTGGGGATATTCCTGCAGTGGCTGTCCCCTGAAACGCAGCACATTCCTTAATTGTCTTTGTTAGGTGAATTAGCTCTAACTTAAATTCCAACACTTAAAATGGGCAAACTGGGTGCTTAATGCTTTTCCTTAGGTATTCGATATGAGCAGTTTTTTCAGTTCTGTAAGAATGTTATTGAATGAAGTGTTCTTTTGTTTCATTTGATGTTAAATGTTTCTATCCTTTATTACTAGGACTGGGCTGATGCTAATGTTTCAAGACAAATTGAAGACACTGTACTTTATGGATACTACAGTAAGTATTTTTAACTTCTAATTTTTTGGTTTTCAATTAATAGGACCTTTAAGTGAAAGCATGAAGTTTTTAGGGGTCATACTGGATTATCCCTTTTTGGTTAAACATTAGTATTATACTTAGTGCCCTTCAGTGAATCTTTTTTTACATTCAAGAGCCCCCTAAAAATGCAAACATACTGAAGGCCAGTCCATGAAAAGGCTAATGTCTTCTGTCTTATAATCTACTGTTAACATGTTTCCTGTGTGTATTTAGAGGTCTGTTAAGGGAAACACATGGTTTTGCTGTAACTTTTATGGCACTTAACATATGGAGCAGTGTCAAACTTGCCTATTGTGTATAAAGTTTGTGCAACTGTAGATGACACTTGTGTTTTAAGTGTTCAGATTAAGCAACTACCATATTCAAAGTAAGAACTACTGTAAAGGAGCATGAAGGAATTGATTCAAGAGTAGTAATCCTAAACAAAACTGAAGCAAAAAATTAACTGAAATCTAATAAAATAACTGTTCACCACTGTGTAGTTTTAGATCAGTTTATTTTAGTTGCCCTTAGGAAACTTATGAAAAGTTCTACTACTACTAGCTGAGAGGTAGTTATAGAAGAGTGATGCTTATCACAGTTTGAGTGAAATGCCTGCCTCAGTCAATGATACGAACTCAGAGGTAGTTGCCTGCTTTTGGTCACATCTCCTAAGACTAAACTAAAACTTCCTGAAGCTTTTCCTCTTGGAAGACTATGGATTGGCTCTTTTGAATATATTTTTTTTTAGATCAGGAAATAATTTGTTCTAAATAATGGACTTTTTTGTGAAGTTACAGAATACTTATTACCTGTCAGTGGTAGTGACAGAAACTAGAATGTGCAGATTCATGCTGAGTGAAGCCTAAAGCCAAAAGTAGTAATAAACTTCTCTGTTTTCGAAAAGAAACTTTTTGTGGAAAATAAACTAGTATTTAAAGATTCTTCACTATAGAATAGTGGAATTGCTTTGTATTTGCTTTCTACTCTGTTAGGTTGCTAAGGTCTTGTTTAATAGCCCAAGCATTTCACAACTCCTAATGTAGAACAGTCTTCAAACTGTTCTGTGGACTGTTTTCTATAGATTTGTGAGACTGATGGATGAATTTCTGTAATATGTTTTGGGCTAACTGAGTCTCTTTTTAAAGCAAGATGTCTCTTGGTAAATCCTGAACTAATTTTTGGAATAGATTGGAGCTTAAACCTGAAACACTGCTTTTGTTTTTGGCCTGTCTGGACAGGTCTACTTGAAATATTGTAGGACTAATGCTTTATTTCATAGCACATCCTCCAGATGGTGGTAGAGATTTAAAGACGGTTTTAAAAGTATTTTTCTTTTGTGATCTTAGTTTGAGGAATTGATGCACACTTTTATAACTAGAGCTACATTGAAGTGAACAGTAATAGGTAACTTATTTTTCAGAAGTCTCCATCATTCCTATATAAAACCACAACTTAATGCCTCTCCTGCATCATTAGGTCTAGTCCCCTGCTGCTGTTGCACAGCATAATGACATGAAAGCTGAGAAGGAATAAGTTAAACAACTCTTCCAGTCTTGTAATACCATTCCATTTTTTCCTACTTGTATCCTCTTATAAAAATATTTGGTCTTGGCATGTTTTTTTTTAAATAAATGGGATGAGCAGAACTGACGTCTCCTTTTGTACTTAAGGACATAAATACCAGTACTTTCTTATCTCTCCTGAAAATGCAGTGGTAACTATATAGATCTTACTTGCCTCCTGTAGCTATATTGGCAACTTATAGCATGAATAATAGGCACACTTAGGTCACTGCCCTTCAATCCAAGTCACTTCTAATTGTGGCAAGAATTTGGAGGCTGATGTTTAACTGATATTTTAGAATATTAAGGATTACTTCACTACCTGCATTGCAATTTACTGAGAAAGCTGTCACTAAATATAGAAAAATGGTGTGTTGTGTGGTTTTGTGGTTTTTTTTTTACAAAATCATTAGTCCCTATGAACAATGAACTCTCTCGTAGCCAGCTGGTTTCTTGGCTAGACTGATACAAAAGTAGAATGGCTTTGTACTGGTAGAATGATAAATGAGGTAATTTTCAAAATGAAGCTTGAAATAACTGTATTTTGAAGTGGGACTTCAGTAGCCTAAAAGCTTTACTTAGGAAATGAATCTACTGATTGCTTTGAAGCCATAGTGGCTCAGTGTGTTAATTCTCATAAAACCAGCTGTAGTAGAATGTGTCTGCCAGTACTTGAGTGATTGAAGAATGATCAGTGGTTGGCAGATGCTCTAAAACAGCATGTCAGCTTGTGTTTGGAAGGAAAACCCTTTTCAGAAAGGGTTATAATTGGAAACCGTGCAATGGCAGTTTCCTCTGTACCACAAAGAATCAAGCTGAAACAATTGACAGTAACCTGGAGCTCTGTTCTGTAGCTCTTCCTGCTCTAGTAAGTAAATCCTACCTATTGGAGTCAGCTTGATGTTCAGTGTCTCTTGGTAAAGTTTTGTGAATGGTGAAAGGATGCCATCGGTAGATCCCAGTCTTCCTGTGAGGTAGACCGAGATCTCTTGACCTGCATGTGTTAAGTGTCTCCCAACTATAGTGTGGCAAGGACTGTCTGCTAAATTCTATGGGGATCTCTTTTGGTGTGCTTTGAAGTCTATGCTAAACTTCTGATTTTCCATTTCTTTTCTTAAATAGAAGTATTTTCTGAAGTCAGCAATAGTTATTGTGTGGTGGTTCCTAGGTTAAAGCTCTTCAGTAAGAATTTATCCAAAATAGATTTTTGCATGTAGTTATGTCTGCTTACTGCAAGTGTTTGATACAGAGTCATTGACACAAGGACTTGGGCTTCTAGGAATTAGTAGGCGCAAATCAAATGCGGCTACATGTTTTCATGGTTTGTTCCTAGGAGAAGACATGCTAAATACTGTGGAAGACTTGCATAGCTGTACCTGACAAATACTGTGGAGTTCCATCTATGGAAACACTCTCCTAATAAATATGATTTTTGAGAAACATTGTGCCAGAACATAAATTGGAAGTCTGTTATAGTATTGACACTTATTGTGGTGAACTGCTTTAACTGTCCTGTTTCAGACAAGTATCTGATCACTTGAAATTCACTACTGTTTCATATTTCTTAACTTTCACTGGGGAAAACAAGATGTCTGTTCTTGCAGTCTTGATGAAAAATTGTTTCAGGAAGTTTTTTTAGATGTGAGAATAATATATTTGGGAAGAAACTCTCATCTTAAGTTTTCTGAAGTAGCTTGTGACTTCTCAGCAGAAGTGAGGGAGTATATAACAAAGCATTGTTTTAAGCAACTTAGTAGTATTAATGTTATACAACTCACCAGTATACGATACCATCTGGAAGAGCAGAAGTTTTGTGTGACGGAAGAGATTTCTGATCATATAACATTCTTGAGCCTCCTGTAGTTTCTCAAAGGGATTTGAGGGACTATATTGATCTTGGATACTCTGCCTGAAATCTTCCCATTTCTTGAAGATACTCTGGTTCCTTCTGCCTACTGCATTTTGCTATTCTTTGTTGTTCTAGTGTTGTACCTAGTTGCCCTTCCATACTATAGGAGAAAAAAAAACAAGTCAAAACAAAATGAAGGGACCATTGCTGTAACTTACTTGAAGACTACTACCAGGTCTAACTCTCTCATAGTTAAGGTGTTGATATGGTGCAAAACAGAAGAAAATGAGTCATTTTAACTTGAGATAAGAATTGCTCTCTGAGAAACATCTTTAAAACAAACAAATCTTAGCAAGGAATTCTTGCTGAAGATGGCTTAGACTCTGTGGCAGGAACCATTGTTGTACTGGCTATACAGTGAAGCACTTTTCCAGTGGTAGTGCTTCAAGCTCCTGATACAACCCGGAAAAATGTTTCGAAACAAAAGTTGGACCTCTGAACCAGAGCAAAGAGCAGTCCCTGATTTAAAATTGAAGTCCATAGAAGTGCAATAATGAAACCTGAGACAGTCTGTCATGCTGCAAGGTCACAGCGGAGTTAGGGGGAAGGGAATATCTTAGTCACTTGGTTGACTGTCAGTTTGCTGCTGCAAGACCTCTGAGTTTGAAGGTTAGCTTTCCAGGAAATAAACAGTCCTTTTAGTGGGCAAAACAACAGGCAATTAAATGCTTGCCTTTGGGTAACTGACTTGTATGAGCTGATGAAAGGTGCTGCTCTTCCTTTTTCATAAGTTCTGAAAAATAAAATTCAAAAACCAGATGATCAGTCTCCTGTTTTGTTGATAGGAACTTTGCCAAATCTTTTTAAGTTTCCTTTGTAGTATAATAGGAAGAACAATGTTATACTACTTTAACTGTGTGAGCTATAAATTTAATTTTCAGTTCTAACTGAAAAGTTCTCACAGGCAGTTTTAAGACTTCACTTGATGGATGAACAAAAAGGCCTGTCTAGGAATGATTTTGCTTGGGAAAAGCAAATGCAAAGCCGCTTTTAAGTTCATTTTCTGTGTTACAGTCCTATAAAATTACTATGGTAATAAGGTTTTTCAAAGAGCAAATAGTAGGGCTGTTGCAACAGTAAGTGTAAGTTGGAGTTTATGCTACTAGATGTAAACAAAGTTACACTCAAGTTATAATATTAAATCTTGTCTTGAAATGCATTGAAAGCCTGTAACTTCTAGAGAGCACATTTAAGGTGAACTTAAGGTCTAAGTGCCAGCAGAGCATTTGTAATGGATGGAAAATTCTGGAATGAGTCTCATGCTGCATCTTGTTGTATATGCAGATTCTGTCTCAGAGTTGATACAGAGTTTGCTATTAGAGCTTAAGGTTTTTAATACAAAACATGTTACAAGTCGGCATTGGCTGAGAACTTCAGTTCTTTTAGTGAAGCATAAATTTGAAGGAACTGTGACTATTTAATGGCTTCAAATTGTGTCTGTGGGACAGAAAACTGCAACCAAAGTTGATTGTTCCTCACTTTAGGTGGAGGTGACTACCTGACAG